CCCGGCGCGGGCAGAGGGGGAGGGGGGCGGCGGGGCTCCAAGGGACCCCGGGGGGTGGGGTGGCGGTGTGGGCTTTCGGGGGGGGGAACCAACGGCTCTCTGTGGCTCTTCCCCCGCAGGAGAGAGCTGCGAGGACAAGAGCCCCCCCGGGCCGGCCTCCAAGCGGGTGCGCACAGCCTACACCAGCGCGCAGCTGGTGGAGCTGGAGAAGGAGTTCCACTTCAACCGCTACCTGTGCCGGCCGCGCCGGGTGGAGATGGCCAACCTGCTCAACCTGACCGAGCGGCAGATCAAGATCTGGTTCCAGAACCGCCGGATGAAGTACAAAAAGGACCAGAAAGCCAAAGGCATCATGCACTCCCCCGTCGGACAGTCCCCGGACCGCAGCCCCCCCCTGAGCGGCCCGAACCACGTCGGCTACTCCAGCCAGCTCCCCAGCGTCAACAGCCTGGGCTACGACGCGCCCTCGCCCACCTCCTTCGCCAAATCCCAGCAGAGCATGTACGGGCTGGCCGCCTACACGGCGCCGCTGAGCAGCTGCCTGCCGCAGCAGAAGCGCTACGCGGGCGCGGAGTACGACCCCCACCCCATGCAGAGCGGCGGCGGCGGCGGCTTCGCCAACCCCAGCCTGCAGGGCAGTCCCGTCTACGTCGGGGGCAACTTCGTGGACTCGATGCCGGCCTCGGGCCCCATGTTCAACCTGGGCCACCTGCAGCACCCCTCCTCCGCCAGCGTGGACTACAGCTGCGCCGCCCAGATCCCCGGCGGCCACCACCACGGACCTTGCGACCCCCACCCCACCTACACGGACCTCTCCTCCCACCACACCTCTCAGGGACGGATGCAGGAGGCCCCCAAGCTCACGCATCTGTAGCGGGGCGGCGGCCGGCGGGGCCCGCTCCCCTCTCGATTACCTCACTTTTCTTGACGGGACAGTGTGACTTTGCTCTCGAGTGCCAACAGTATTAGTGGATTTGTCTCCCCTAGCAGCTCCCCACTCTCTCTTCCGCAGCCCCGAGTAGGTCCGTGAGCAGGAGCCTTCTTTTTTTTATTATTATTATTATTTTTTTTCTTTCTTAGAGCTGTTTTAAGCATGACAGTGCAATATACTGCAAACCGAGGGACTGATAAGCTGGTAATGATGTACTTGAAGGTAAGTCTTAGAGATGCCGTAGCGTTAGCAGCGTGTCATGCTGAGGTGTGCTAGACCAGTCGTGAGCGGTGGGACCTCGCCCGCGCGTAAGCTTATTTCAGAGAAGTTAATTTATGGATTCTTCCCTAACGTAAGGATCGCATCGGACTAAATGATATGTATTTATTATTTTAAGCGAGACATTTTTGTATCACTGATTATTTATCCTCGTCTTAATGTATTTATGTGGCTATTTGTAGAGTTTCTTCACCAATACTTCGGGAGAGCGATTCAGGTCCGTGGTGATTTACATTTCACCTATTTAGTATATTCGGTCTGAGCTAGTTGAGAGAGTAGTCTTGAACAGTTGTAACAGTGGCTGGTGTTTGTAGTTTATGTAAGGATTAATTAAGACAGCAAGTCGTAAGTCATTAATAGAGTAAAACAAACTGTGGCATCACACAAAGAGCCGTTACACTTAAAAAAAAAAAATAATAGCGAAAGTATTTTAAAAGTATTTATTTCTAACCGGCTGGCCCCGCTGGAGCCCCTCGGTGGCTCGGCTGGCGGCTGGCTCGGCCGGGGAAAGCCACCTTTGGTTGGAAGCGCCCCCGCTTTGAGGAGGCGATCTACAAAGCGGGGCGCTTGGCCATCTTGTTTCAGATCAAATCCTGCATACAGAAACCTCGGTGAGGTTAACATTTATTTATTGAATGGGTATCTATCGCACATATTATTAGTTCGGTGGGCTATTTTATTTTCTTTCTTTTTATTTTATTTTTTTAAAAATTACATTCTGGCTATCTGAAATAGGAAAGAAATTAGAAGCTTAGAACGCAAAAAAATTAGAAACCCTCTGATAGTGCTAATTTCATTAGGGTCTCCATAGCAATCCGCGCAGCAGCTGCCGCCTCCTTTGTTATTTATACTGTTGTCTTTATACTAACCATAAATCAATTTTTTAGACATCTTTGGAAGCCCGAGCTTTTCCTCTTGTTTTTCATAAAAATAAACTTTGAAAGAAAATTGACAATCAGACGTAGACAGCCGAAGGGGAGCCGCCGAGGCGGGGTGCGGGCAGCGGCCGGGCGGTGCCACCGCGCTCCCCCCGCGCCCTGCGGCGGAGGGGCACCGCCGCCTCCCTCTGCCACCAACGGGACAGCTAACACGGGGGAGAATTAAAAAAAAAAAAAAAAAATAAATCAGAGAGAGAGAGAAAAAGAAAGGGGGGAAAAAAAAAAAAAAATAAATCAGAGAGAGAGAGAAAAAGAAAGGGGGGAAAAAAAAAAAAAAATAAATCAGAGAGAGAGAGAAAAAGAAAGGGGGGAAAAAAAAAAAAAAATAAATCAGAGAGAGAGAGAAAAAGAAAGGAGGGAAAAAAAAAAAAAAAAAGGAACGATGCTCTGAACCCTGGTGTTTGCTCCTCTCTAGTTACACGGCTGTGTTGGATCCCTCGCTGGATTTACAGAGATCCTTCTTTTGTAAACGTTGTCATTAAAGTCTCTTCCTGACGGTACATGTCGCCCGAGAAGACTATTCTTATCTCTTTCTAAAAGTGTCGAGTTAAAGATTAATCCGAACTTCTGTATTCCCCACCAAACCGTCTGACGCGCCACTTCCCAGTTTGACAAACACTGCAGCTCCTACTCCATCCTCTAATGTCAGGACCTGGCATTCCTATTGTGAGAAATATTTTAACTCCTCCAATTCTGGTCAGCACAGACAAGTCTTCTGTCTTTCTTTTCTTCTTCTTTTCTTCCCTGCTTTCTTCCTCGCCTTCTGGTATTTGTGTTTGGCTGGACAGTAACGAGTCAAAAATATTACTTAGGGTTTTTTTTCCCCCTCTGTGCGATTTTAACAATGTCGTGCTACGTTGAGAAGTGTATTTTTTGTTCAATTTCACTTTCACCCAAGCAAATTTGGACATCTGTGTTGTAGATCTGTAAACAAAACAGAACAGAATAAACTACTTTGTTCGGAGACATATTTTAACCATTCTGAGCCCTAGAATTGTTTTCTATGGAAGTTTTCACACAAATCGTTTCTTAGAAGCTCCATCCAGGAGTAAGCAAAACATACAAACAATGCAAAAAAAGTAAGGCTAAACATCACTTGTGAATTATACTTCTATAATATCCCATAAATATATATATCTATGTTTGTATCTCCAAAACGTTCTGTAATCAATGTACCCACAACTGAAATTGTCCATGTAGGTTTCTTTGTGTGTTCTTGAAAGCACGACGTGCTTCGCATCACCCGCTTCCATCTGTGAAATGGCAAGGCATCACCATTTCTGCCGGGCTGCCCCTGGTGTAACCCAACGTGCTTTCCCCAAGTGTTTCCCACCTTCGTGCTCTGTAGGCTGTTCTTCAAACAGTGTCTGCTCTGACTTACACTATCAGTCCTTCATTAACTCTGTTAAGAAAGAAAAGGCCGTTTATAGATAGCCCTTCCCCAGATCTGAGAAAGAAGGGGGTTTCAGAGGAACCTTGACCACAAACACGGTGTTAGAGGCACACTGCCCTGAATTATTTTCATATTGCAGAGAGACGGGGGTTTGCAAACTTGCTTTCCAGTGGGGGAGGAGAAGGAGCATGTGCGAGAGGGAATCTTCTTGTAAATAAATTCACTTTCTTCTCCGTGACTCTGGCAGAGGCGTCTCGTTTGTAATGCGATAGAAGTCCGTGATGATAACCTAATTATTAGAAGTAATGTTACTTTAGCGAGATCGCTGGCATTTTCACAATGTTTGTACAAGCATCAGCAATCTAGAGGAGAGAGACACTTTGGCACAAGCCAGACTTTTTCTTGGCCCATCACTTAAAACCCATAAATTATAAACAACCCCCTTTCACACTCAGTAGGAACTCAGCTCCTTTGCAACAGCATCTGATGTGCTGAACTCCGGTCACCCATTTAAAACACAACTCGTCAGCCAAGGCCAGGCCTGGGGCTGAGCCCAGCCTTGCCTTTCTTTGCAAATAGGAGCCATAGCACCCCTTTCCTTCCTTCCCTGCTCCCTCCATCTGCTCCAGACCTGTAACAGGGTTCCTGAGCCTGGGCCTCTAAATGCTGGCAGTGCTGCAGCAGTGTTTGGGATGGGGAGCTGCCGACAGCACTGGTTGAGGAGCCTCAGGGGTGCACCGAGCTTCAGCGAGGCCATGCAGGTTCAGAACAGAGGGGTTTGGGTTTCCACTTGTCTCCTTACAGTAACCCACCATTTAATGGGGCCACAGCAGTTTCCCTGCTGCAGAAAGGAGATGAGGCTTTGTGTCAGCTCCGTGCAGTCAGTGCAGGGTTTAGCTGCCCCTTTGCACCCTATATCTGTTGAGGGGGGTCCCATACATGTTCCTCTGTCTTGGGCCTGGTGAGCAGCACCTGGGCCAGGGAGACCTAGGCAGGTACTGCCAGGGGCTCCCAGGGATGCCACTGTCTTGCAGGTGCTGCTTGTGTGGGGAACAAAGTCAAATGCCTCTTCTGCAGAGCCCTGGTCACTGGGCAGGCTGGGGAGGGATACTGGGGTATCCTGCAAAGCTGCCACTATGGGACCACCCCTGGGTCACCTGGGGCTGCAGGCAACCTTGTCCATGGGTGAAGAGGAGGCAGGTGACTGCACACCCAGGAGGCAAGGAAGGAGTGAGAGGCCAGGGAGAGGCTGGCTAAGAAAGAGGGAGGCCACCAGCACCAACTAGAAGCCCCCTGACTTTCTTGGGGACCAGCTGGGTCATTGGAGCTCCATGGCAAGAAGTCTGAAGGCAGGATCCACCACTGGGGTCTCTGCACCCCTCCAGCCCCATGGGAAGCCCTATGACGCAGGGAGGTCCCAGATATAGAAGGGACTACTCGGCCAGGGAAAAAGTGAGGGTAAAGAGGATGGAGCTGTTGACTCGTGCCGGGAGGGTGCCCTGCTGACAGGTGTTGGCTGGGGACGGAGGGAAGGAGCTGCAGGTCTCAGCTCAATCCTTCCCCATGCCAGCCTGCCGTGTGTGCCCAGCGGCCGCGCACAATGGCCGCCCGGTGAAGGCGCAGTGTGCTGCGGGGCCCAGAGGCCCAGGCGTCCGGCGCTGCCGCCGCAGACCTGCCCGGCAACAAAAGCTGGAGCCAGACGGGGAGCACAAAGGGGCCGGTGCTGCCAGGGCAATTAGGGCTGCGGCGGTCGGCTGGGCACCACGGCATGTCACATATTGACGAACTGGCTACCTCTGCCCTTAAAAGGTGTGAGATGGGCTGGACGAGAGCTCTGTTGTTTGCTGCAGGCACTTTCTGAGGAAGCAAGCAGGTTAATCCCTGAGCCGGCAACGGTTCTCCGGCAGTGGGTACACCGTGGTCCTTGTTGGAAGTGGGGCTGTCGGGGGAGGGAGGGGGCTGGCTCTATTAAGGGTCATCAATCACATGATGAGCACTTTTCGCTTGACAGCAGTTCCTCCTACTTCTGCTCAGGCCTGAAGCAGCTGGGACTTGACCAGAAACTCTGGCCAGGAGAGGCAGAGCCTGGTCCCAGAGCCCAGGAGCCATGGAGTAACGCTGCAGGACAGGACCAAGCCCCTTTGGTCACAAAGGCTGAGACGCAAAAGGGGACACAGCAAGGTGTCTGTACCTGCACATCCCCAGGCCTCTGCGGATGCTGCTTGGGAGCAGAGATGGGCCATTGCCTCCACCTTCAGAGTCCAGGGTCCTGGAGCTCCCTGAACTGCCCTGGGATGAACCCCAGAAAGACTCAGCTGCAATCACCACAAGCACAAAGCTGAATGAAATTAACATGGGATCTCTGCTAGGTAGGATGGAGGTCTTCTGGGCAAAAATACTCCTGAATGTATAATTTGAACAGTTGCGTTCATTTTTTTTTTTTTAATTTGCTGATGTGCAGTTTTTCTTGTATCAGCAAAAGTTTTGGGGGAGGGTAGACAACCCCATGCTGTGTGAGGTGCGTAGCCTTGATCTTTCCTCCAAGGAACCTGGGTCACCTTTTAGGATCTTTGGGAGCAAGAAGGGTTAGTCATGGCAGAAACCCTGGCTGCAAACCCTCTGACGTCTGTTTTGCACACAGCAGTGTAGCTTACTTTGATACCTCTGGGTTATCAATACACGTAATTTTTACTTCCTACCAAATTCACAGCCACAGGATAGGAAACAGGGCATTACATGGCATAGGAGCGCATGTGGAATCACTCTTCTGGGGAAATCCTTAAAGAAGGGGGGAGAGGCTTTCCTCTTCTCTGTGTTCATGCAGAGAATCTTTGTAGTTAATTCCACATACCGGCAGAACAGAGGTCCCTGTGCCAGGCCTGGTGAAACTGCCCCAGGGGTTAGGCAGGAAAGGGGAGCTTGTGGAAGGGAAATATTGATGGCAGAGGGAAACGCACCTTCCTCAGGAAGAGCACGAAGTGCCTTGCCAGCCTGGAAGGGCTGTGCTTGTGCTGGAGTTGAGCCTGGCTCCCCTGGCGTGGCAGAATGATTCCCTTCCTTTGCCCTGGGGTCTCTGTTCATCCCCGGTTTTATTCACGCTTTAGCAAACACACTCCCCAGAGCTTCTCCTCCTTCTTCTCTGATAGCCTTCCTCCCAGGGGCCTTTGATGGTTTGCCTGTGTTAAGAGGGCTACCGCTGAAATCCCCGGTGTTTGCTCACCTCTTTTCTGGATGCCCACCCACACCCTGGCTGTCTCCACAACATGGACCTACATCCCCACGTACCGCTGGGCACCAGCTCTCCTTGGCTGGCAGTGTCGTGGCAGCAGAGGGGCAAGGAAAAAGTCATACTTGAACTAGACTTTCCACATCATTTTCCTGAGGGCTCGGAAGGGATCTGTTGAGTATGTTAGTTATTGTGACAAACATAGAGGGTGGAAGCTGGCTCTAGAGGGGAAAGGCAATATGTCCCAGCCTCCAAGTAGTCCCTGTGGCTCAGGGCTGCCATTGCCTTCAACACATGCACTGCTCGAGCAGTCTCCCCAGGGCACTGCTGGTGTCTGCACCCACCAGGGTCCAGAGCTCTTTGGCTGGGCTTGTTCCTACATCATATCTTAATTCCACAGTGGCTATCTTGGGCATGGCAATGGCCCACATACTTCCAGAAGTATGGTGGCACAGGGGTTGGTTTGGTCCATTGTTCTCACAGAGGTTCCTGCCCCAGCAGGTCCCCTGGCTTGTGCCATCACTGCACTGCTTGCACAGATGTCCCTAAACCTCCCAGCCATTCTCAAATTGCCTTTGACAGCATC